CCAGCCTCTGCGGGCAGCCCCAGGCACGCAGCTCCATTTTCCTGCTCCCAGCTTGCGCCCGCCTGTGCAGCAGCAGGAAAGGGCAGGCTGCCTCATCTCCTTCTCCTGCAGCACTGCTGAGGAGGGGTCTGCAGTAGCCCCTTCCCCACACAGCTCATGCAGGGCACTGGAGCCAGCTGGCACCTTGGGGCCGGGGGCGGGGGGACGCGCCTGGGGAGCCTTACCTCTGACCTCCAGCTTGCCCTCACACTGCTTGGTGCCGTACTCGTTGACGGCCTTGCAGGTGTAGAAGCCAGTGTCGGTACGCTCCACCGCCAGGATATGCAGCGTGAAGAGCCCCCGTGCCCCCTCTGCCTCCTCTGCGTGGTGCCGGCGGCCATACTTCACCGGCTGGCCGTTTCCCACCCTGCCTCAGCCTGCTCGGGACATGGGCAGATCGGCACGGTCACACCTGGCCCCGCATACCCAGCCTGGCTGTCCCCAAAATCTCCCCTCTCCTCCACCCCCAGTCCTGTTTGGGACTAGAGCTCCAAGTTGGCTGTCTCCAAATGAGGAGGTCACTCTTCCCATCTCCTTCTTCCCTGCCCAGCTGTGACCCAGTGAGCACTGGTACTCACCAGTAAATGATGGGCTTGGGCTCCCCACGGACACGGACACTCATGCTGACATCCTGCCCCTCCAACACCGACTGGTCCGACAGGGCCACCTGGGGAAGCAGGGGTCAGCGAGCACCCACCTGTGCCGGGGCCACGCGTCCCCATCACTGCACTCAGGGCCATGTGTTCCCTGTCACAACAGCAGCCCTGGAGCACAGTAAGGTGCTGGGCCTGCTGGGGGAGCTGGTGGGGTGCAGGCTGCCCGCGTACTGGGAGCACCCCAGATCAAGCAGTAGGAAGGCACTGGGGACCGCAGGGCTGCAGTAACAGGGCACTGCTCCCCTTCTGCCAGGGAGGTTATCAGCTCACCTCAAAAGTGGGTGCAGCCTTGAAGGTGCTCTCTGGGGAGCCGTGGGCAGCCCCATGCTCGGCTCTAGGCTGCAGCTTCATGGCTGGTCGGTGCTGGGGGGTGCCGGACTCAGGGAACTCTTCCAGGGGGCTCAGGTACTCCTCGTCCGAGGTGATGGGGCTGGCCTGCCCGAGGGGGGGTGCCAAGTTCCCATGCCGCTCCACGGCGGGGGCTAGCACAGGAGAGGCTAGATAAGGAGCTGGCAAACAGCCAGAGACCCGCAGGCGGCTCAGGGCACCCCCTCCCCACTGCCCCGCACCCCAGGGGTGCCCGGGGAC